AAATCCTGGTTAAATACAAGGTAGAAATGTTTTTTTTTTTTTTTTTCTTTTTCCCCTTATTTGGACCGCGTCTTTGCTCGAGTCGACGAATAAATTGCTTCTATCCCCCCCTCCTCCTCCTCCCCTCGAACTTTTAGGAAAGCCAACCGAAAGCTTCTATGGAATCGCGCGAAAACGTGGGAGTGCTTTCAAGGGTGTCGTGGTAGGTAGGTCTTGGGCGTAGTCCTCTAGTTTCTCCCTCTCTCTCTCTGTCTCTCTTCCTCTTTTTCTCCTATCAACTCGTTCTCTCTTTTCTCTCTCACTGCCTTATTCTTTTTTCTCCCTCTCGATACCATTTCCCTTCGATATTTCATTGATACTTTGGCGTTTCGAAATGGAATCGTGGTGGAAAATTTTAAGTGAAAAATCATCGTTTCCACTTTTCCGTTGCGGTTCCATTATCTATTCCCTCGTCGTGCAACGCTGCACGATGGAAACGATGGGCGAGTTCACACGACCATGTACATATTTATATATATATATATATATATATACGTGTGCAGTTTCGAACGTACGAATCCATTACGATTAAAATTTACGTTCGCTTTTGCCGACAATATTTACGCTGTGCTCGCGTGACGCGAATTCACGTCCCGATCTCTATTTTTCATCGTTTTCATCGTTTCACACCGTCGATCGTGCAAAAATCGTAAATCCAATGCCAAACTTTTTCAACTTACGCCTTGATACGCGTGATCGCGTTAAATCAACTCCACCCGTACTTCCGATAAACTCCCTTTTTAATCCTCGTCGTTTGGTACGTATTATCGTAAGACAACAGATTCACGGAATCACGGATGTGATTTTATCGATTCGTTCGTTCGTTCGATCGATAACGTTCGTTCTCGGATCTAATATTGCGAGTTTCGATTCGAATCATTAATTCGTATCGCAAACAAATTTCCCTTTAACCCGTTTCCGTTTACAGAGACAACACGAGGGCACATCTCGATCGCGATATCAACGGATATTCCATCGTCGTTCGTCTGCCGATCCACGAAATTTCTCTGCCTTATCCGCGGGATGTCCATCAAAATCCGTTGGAAATGGTTTCAACGCCATCGATGCTCCCCCCTTTCACCTGCGTCTACGAATCTCGTGAAACAAATCCAATCCTCGTTCCTTTCCTTCCCTCCTCCCTTTCTCCTCCCTTCCCATCGAATCTTGAATCACGCGTACATCGACGTAGGTTTAAGACTCAAGGTTCATCGAATCAACTGTAATATTGATCTCGTATCTTGCCTCGAGATCCTTTTTTCTTTTTTTAAAGGGACGAGAAAGATTTTTGGACGATTGGGCGGCGCTCGTTTCATCGCGACCGCGGACACGCTTCCGGACAAAGGCCGACACTTCCGTGGCATGGCGAGCGAGCTCGTGTCTCGGATGGAAATGCCGAACGGTCGAAAACCTGCTGACGCGGGACCCACTTCCGCCCCGATCCCGATTCCCTGTCATTTTATCGGCGAAATCCTTGATTAAACCACTCCTGACCCTCTCTCTCCCTCCCCCTCCCTGTTCAATTTTCGATGAAACATCGGAATTTTCAGAAGCGGTATTATTATCGTATATTCCTGACCAAAGATATATATTCGCGTTTATCAATTTTATTTTAACAAAACGTTGCCGCAACGGCGGTTGTACAGATTTTTATCTCTATCTCTATCCGTTGCTTTGTATATAGATACATATACACCCTTCCTACACGACGACGACGACGACGACGACGACGAGGACGAGACTTTACTCGTTTAATTAAAATTAATTTCGACTTTCGATCTTTTCCGCGTCGATTTATAAAAAAAGGGGATATCGGATATTTTTGCTCGATAAAAATGCAAACTTTTTCC